CTTCATTGCTAAAGGTTCTAAAGACTACATTACTAATTCTGCTATTGTTTAAACGTCACTTACTCTAGCAGCTCTAGAAATTGAGTTAGGTGAATTCAAGCCAATAAGATGACCAAGGATACGTTTCATTTCCTCTGTTGTACCTTTTGTATCAGAATGCCCTGAAAAATAAAAAAATTGGTTATTCTTGCTATGTACAGGCACTATTTTCTGTGAAACATTGGAGACTATCTAAGGCTAACAGGCATGTTATGGTCAATGAAACGTTAACCAATAGAATGAACACAGAAGTTCACTTTTGTAACAAATAATTGTATGAAATTAAGTGACATAGCAAAATAAAATTTGAATACACAGCTAAAGTTACCTGTTAATGAACTGGATTGGATATGCACATAAGGATGAACCAACAACTCAGAGACAGATATTCTTTGTTTAGGATCTCTTACTAAGCAACGCTGAAAAGAAAAAAGATGGACATATTTGCATGAGTCTGAAAATAAAACTTTCAAAAAGACAGACTCAGATTTCTGAAGAATGTTATAACTTTTTTACATTTTACATCGGACTATAGTAATGCCTTGCAGCAAAAGACTTAGGGTACAACTAGACAAGTGTTTGTCCTGCAGTTTAATCTAGTTTAAGGATGAACTGGATTACTCATTTTCCTGGCAAGCACAACATGTGTGTGCCATTGTGAACCAGTCTGTCTTCGACCAAGGTCTACCTGTATCTTTCTGAGTCCTGGTAGGATCCCTCCATTTTGGTTTGATTCCAGCATGTATGATCACTGGAACTGAACCAAAGCAAATGGCTTAAGTTGTTTTGTTGCTTAAGCCACTTACAATCCTCCTTGCTGATCAGCTGTGGAGAGGAAGTTTGCATTTTCTTTCTAATTGTTGGTAACACATCAGCAATTTAAAAAAGCACGATGCACTTGGTCAGTTAACAACAATTAAAAAGAAAGAGAAAACTTCCTCCCCCCTCCATTCACAGGTAAGCAGGAAGGAAACTTTCCATTTCTCAAGATCGTTATATAGCTTAAGTGAGGCATGGAGGAAGAGACAGGAAGAGGGGTTTGTTGTTGTTTTCCTTTTCCTTTTAAAAGGAAAGACACTCTGTCTAGATGTCAGGATTGCTTGAGGTGTAGTGTGGCTGATCCTTATATACGGATGCAAAAATCACTCCAAGTGCCACACCACATTACACCCAGGGTGGTGTCAGATCTATATTGGGATGGTAGGCAACATCTTGGTGTAAAACATGCCTGTTTCTCTCTGACGGAACACTGGTGGGAGATGGAGGCATCATGCATAGGGCATAGGGCAACACAAGGGCAGGATATAAGTGGGCCTTGTTGAACATGGCTGTGATGAAGTGTAGCTACACAGCTCACAATGTTCAAGAAGCTCTGAAGGACACACTACGACTATTTATTTATTTATTTTATTTTAATTTATACCCCACCTATATGGTCATTGCGACCACTCTAGGCGGCTTCCAAACAAATAAAAATAACATACAAATATACCAAGATAGAGAAATATAAATCAATAAACAGATTCTTCAAGATGGAAAAAATAACATAAGTGAACAGGAAAAATTAAGTATTAACTGGAGGGAAGGCCTGCTTAAAAATCCAAGTTTTTAGTTGGGTCTTTGCAGGATATGGTAGATATATGCAAGCCTAATATAATGGAGTGGGCAAGAAAGGTGGCAGGGTACTTTCACCAGAGTCTAGACAGTGAGCTGTTGCAGCCAAGGAGAAGAAAAAATGGGGATTGCTACTCTACTACCTAATTCAAGATGTGGCAGTTTGATGGAATGCCACTTTCTACCTACTTGAAAGAATGTTAGAGCAGCAAACAGCACTCCATCATTTGGCACAGAAGACTGCCATTGGTATGGCTTCTCCTCTGGGCAGAGAAAAGTGGAACATTATGGGTCAAAGTGGTCTCTGTCTTCCAAAGTTTTGAGAGTGCAACACAAGTCCTTAGTGAGGTTACAGCCATCCTAGGTCAGAGCTTGGTTAGCATGATGGAGGGCATAATGAGGGGACAGTCTAGCTGGACGGGGGTTTCCAAAGAGGAAGAACAGCATTTTTTCTGGCCTGAAGTGGTGGCCCTGGCCAGCAAACTAAAGAATCTGCTCCACTATAAGTTTGCCTCCTTGTGGAAGAAGGAGTACATTCTAGCAACCATCTTGTACTCTTAAGTAGCAAGCAATGGCTATTAAGCAGCAGCAGCAGCAGGGGACAATGCCACACCACGTTCCATCATGCACAGAGCAGCAGCTAGCAAAGGTCTGGCTAGCACTGAGGGTTTACACAGGGCAGGAAGAAGGACATGGAAGAGGCAGAAGTAGATACAGGAGACCTGCAAGTCAAAAGAGACTGATCCCTTGTCTTACTCGGCTTCTTCTAAAATAGGTGGAATAGGCCTCAGTAATGTAAGAGATGCAGATTACACCATCTTACTGGCAGAAAGCAGCAATGACTTGAAACAATTTTTAGTGAAAGAAGACTGGCCAAAATCATCCATACTCTTGTATTCCTAATCATTGTGTATGGGTGTAAACGCTGGACAGTGAAGAAGGCTAACAGAGAAAAAAAAAAGATTTGTTTGAAATGTGGTGCTGGAGGAGAGCTTTGCTGATACCCTAGACTGCCAGAAAGATAAACAAGACCTAGATCAAAGGCAGTACAGTACCAGGCAGTCCGAAGACTGTCTCCCAATCCACTCTCTAAACGCTGGGAGGAATGAGGAAGCAGACAGGCACCCTTTTCACTGGCCAACAGTTAACTAAAAGTTCAAATTTTGCACTTTCCCTGCCTCCCACGTGGTTTTTTTCAGTTCTTAACTCAAATCTAAGTATGTAAGTCAAGTCAATATTTTCCTATGAGAGCGGTTCTTAAGTCAAAATGTTCTTAACTCAAGCCGTTCTTAAGTCAAGACCCCACTGTAGTAAGTATTTTGTATTTTTATATTTGTTTTTTGGGGGAAAATTAAATAAATAAATAAAAATCAAGCCTGAAGGAAAAATGTTTCTGAAGGGAAAAATGTTGAAATGGAGGCTATTTTATTTTGGGCTCATAGAGAAGGCAGGATTCTCTGGAAAAGACAATCATGCTGAGAAAGGTGGAAGGCAGCAGGAAAAAGAAAGGAAGCCCAAATATCAGATGGATTGACTCCCTAAAGGAAGCCACAGGCTTGAGGTTACAAGAGGTGAGCAGGGCTGTTGAGGACAGAACATTTTGGAGATATCTCATTCATAAGGTCACCATATGTTGGAGGAGACTTAATGCTACCCAAGAACAACAAGCCACACCTCAATTTGTTTAATAAGCTCCCCCTCCCCATTTGAAAGAATTTTCGATAAGCTATGGCAGACAGGAAAGGAGAAATGAGAAAACTCACTCTTATGAAGTTCCTTTTGCATATGGTTCTCATATGCAAACCAGTTAAAATTAAGAAATTGTTTCATATGTAAAATCCATTTAACACTTAGTGTGACAAAGCAAATGTATTACCAATAAAATAAAATAAAAATGAGAGGTTACCTTTAAGACATCCCGGAGATCTTCTTCTTCAATCTCAGGAAGTGATATTTCATAACTAGCGTCAATTATGGCATGAAGCTTTGTGATCTGGTTTGTTATGTGCTGAAATGGAGTTCTTCCGTAAGTCATACAATATAGTATGCAGCCTAAAGACCAAACATCACTTTTGGGACTTATCTGAAAACAAAAGCCAGAAGGGGGAAAAAACCAAAATGTTTTCTTGCACATTTGTTGCTGTTGTGAAAAACATTCATTCAATGTAATCTACATTAAGAAATGTGTCTGTATTATGCTACCTGATCGATGAAACCCTCTGTGATGAATTGATGATGTATACTGTCAAAGGCATTAATTACTAAGGCAAGTAATTTGTTCACAGTTTGGTCATAGTGAGAAATATATAACTCTCTTAATATGTAATTGCTGTTTCGTAAGATTATTGCTTTGAAAGAAAATGTTTACAATGACTTAGTAACAATTTATTAAAACTAGGAAACTGATGCATCAATGAAGCATAACAAGAAATTGAGTAAATGTTAAGGATATTTACATAGCACCTTACACTGACTGAGCCACAAACCAGCTACACTGGAATATTTGCATTTAAGTTTGTGCAATTCTAGTGATCTAGCCCTTCGGTACTGTTACTCAAATCCAACTTCAGCAGGACTTGACAAGCTTTATTCTTGCTACTCTTTCTGGATCTGTACATAAGCTTCTAATATGAGCATATTGCAACAGAGTTTCAAAATTTGAGATACATGAATCTCAGGAGGTCAAATGGGCCTTTTGTAAGAACTACCAGAAGAATAAGCATCAATATCCTTGTGCAACTGCTTTAGGTAAGAGGCAATTAAATGAGAATATTTCAAGATTACTTGTAGTGGCTCACTACCATTTTAAGGAGGTAAGAAGAGCACCAGCTTTTAAGACAGGCAGAACACTCCCTCCCCACTCCCACCAAAGGTATCCTTCTACAGACAAAAACAAGAAGCTGATATAAAGATTCAGGTGTCTGAAAGATTTCAGTAGTACCTACACTTGGCAAGAGTCATAAGCTACTAGAGGTTCTGCATGTCATGTTATAACTGCAGTACACAACTGTATTTGAATGTTGGATGACAGACTAGCTATTCAGAATAAACTGTACAGTGATGCCCCGCATAGCAACAATAATCCGGATTCGTCGCTATGCGAAAAGAAAAAGCCCATAGGAATGCATTAAACCCCATTTAATGCGTTCCTATGGGCTTAAAACTCACCGTTATGCGAAAATCCTCCATACGGCCGCCATTTTCGCTGCCCGGTATGCGAGGAATGGGCGCAAAAACACTGCGGGCGGCCATTTTTTCCAGCGGCTATTTTGGAACAGCCGATCAGCTGTTTTGAAAACATCGCTATGCGGAAATCGGTAAGTGAAACAGCTTACCGATCGTCGCAAAGCGATTTTTTGCCATTAAAAAGATCACAATGCGATCGCTTTTGCGATTGCAAAAAACAAATCACTATGCGGATTCTTCGTTAAACGGGGCGCTCGTTAAGTGAGGCACCACTGTATACTCAAAGGTAGTCCCTACTCTAGCATTCAACTGTGAATCTTTATCTAG